ACAACCTTGACTGCAAATCAAAATCAACTAGGGAGATTAACAACAACAACAACAACAACAACAACAAAACCAGATATAAGTCCTGGACACTATGATAACAAGCTTAGCAGATAATTTTAATGTACAGCCAAGGTTGGAACCTCGCATTCTAGGTGGCAAGTACAGCACGCAACAAAAAAAGTAAATGGAAAAAGAGCATGCTATGTTTGGGAAATTATCAGTCGTTTACAAAGCTGTAGTACAGGGTACTGGAGAGATGTGAAGGGTTAAAAAGGAGAGGTGAAGGGGAAGACCGGAGACAGCCCGTGAAATAAGTGGGTGTCAGGCAAAAACAGCGTAGACACCACTGAAAAGTAAAAGCAGAAAAGCAGTAACTGTTTGGGGTCAACAGCAGAGCGGAAAACACATTGGCGCGAGCAGCTGCATAAAAGGAGCAATACTAAATGATGGGGACCTAAGATGCAGTAGTTGTAGGGAGGATGAATATAGGTTAACTGCAAGAAAGGTAGCGCCGCAGGAGAGGCAGGAAGGAGCTGCAAGCGAGAGTGCGGCGGGCCTGGCCCTCCCGGCTCCCGGAACCTCAGTGGCGCCAGCCGGCCGGTCTTCCCGGACCGGCGAGCTCTCGCAGCGCCGCCTCTCGCCCCCGGCCGCCATCCCGCACCTGCTTCGGTTGCATTCTTAAAAGGCCAAGTGTTGAGGACGAGGGGCAGGGGGCTGGAGCCGCGCACCAGGGCCGGACCGAGCAGGAGCGCTACGAGAAGTAGACGCAAGTGGAACTTCCGCGCCATAGCCGCGCGCCGATCGGAGGAGCGCAAGAAAGGTCGCGGCCCGGCGGCCGGCGCAGACCCGGCGGCCCCCACTAGCCGAACTCGCTATCCCAGCGTCCCGCCCACCCCCGTCGAAGCGTGCTCAGTGCTCCCTCAACTCTCGCGAGACGTGGCGTCCTCGGAAGTGCGGCGGCGTTCTGTCATGATGGTGCCGTGGTGTTCCCGTGCAGCCGAAGTGTTTGTTCTTAGGTGCTATTCAGATTTTTTTTTTTTTTTTGTAGTAATCAATCAGATTGTTGCTTTCTCCCCTGCTAAAAGTAGAATGAGCTTCCTACTGGAAAGTTAGTATGAAATTATGCAACCTGGTTTGCATAACCCTAGGAACTTTAGGTAATTGCTGTGTACTATTTGATTTTTGTTTATTAGCCTTTCTAATTAAAAGTTGAAGTTGAAAAGTTTGCCAAACTCAAAATGTACTCTCTGGGATTCCTGGCCTCAGAGACTGGAACGGTTATTGAGCATGTTTTCTTCACACATACCTTCCGTCAGTTTCCCACCATAGCTTTATGTAGGACGTGTTCTCGTTATAAATCCTGGATTTGGAAGAAAAGAAGCAGCCTGGGGAAGCAGAAATTTACCCTCTGCACAGCCCACAAGTGCACCTCCGGGGCAGGAAGCCTACCTCCATTCTCTTCTGAATCTGCTTTACCTTCGTCCCTGGCACCATTAAGTGCTAAGTAGATATTTGAATAAGAGGAGGAATGGAGACTTTTACATGCATGGTGGAGGCTGCTCATTTTTTATTTTTTTTTTGTCCTTTTATTTTGTGACCGGTAAGTGGATCACAACCCTTGGCTTAGTGTCGCCCGCACCGTGCTCAGCCAGTGAGCGCAGGGCCATCCCTATATAGGATCCGAACCCGCGGCCTTGGCGCTCCCAGCGCGAAACTCTCCCTAGTGAGCCACAGGGTTGGCCCAGGCTGCACATTTTGATAGTTCGGTTTTTGGGCACATGTGCGAGCATGAGCCAGTAATCCCTTTCAGACTCTGGAATGCCTGCCCCTGTTGCCAAAGGAAGACATATAATCAAATAATTTTAAAGAGCGTCTATAAATCTTGTGAGGCTTGTAAAACCTTCAAAGCTCTTATTTCTAGGAAATTAATACATAATTTAAACAGCAAAAAATAGCCTAGAAGAATTATCATGAGGCGGGGAAGTGCTATTAAAAAGTTACGTGTAATTAAAGTGAAGTGTTAGTAGTTCCTTCTGTGGGATTTTGGAGGAGGAACAAGTCATTTGTGCTGCGATAATCAGCATAAGCTAATGCCAGGTGAAATTTGAAAGATGGATGAAACAGATAAGAATGTAAGGAAAATATACATTGTCCTCTGAATTATTTTTTTTTATCACCTGAGCTGAATATTGTTTATACAGCTTAAGGAACTAGGACATGCTTTCAGCAAAAATTGTAAAATACTATACATGGAAAATTGGTGTCCTCTGCTCTCTGTGGCCTATTCTTAGTTTTTAAGGTATTTGCATTCTGGCTGAGAGAGCCTGAACTCTTAGTTCCTACTATGTCCACTCTTTTCTCTAAAATTCTTTCTCCTTACTTGAAATCAAAATTTCTATCAGAGGAGTTCACCTCATCTATTGGTTGGAGGAAAACAGTTAAATTACACCATAGTGGTAATGTCTGAGAGAAGGTCTCAATGTCAACTTTCCAATGGATATTTGTATTTAAAATAATATGCAATCTCAAAGGAATCTACCCCATTTGATGGCTTTTTAGTGGCTATTGAAATACCCAGTGCGTCCATTATCGAGTTTGCCTAAACTTACAGTCATCTCTGTAGCTATGTCTTAATCAAAGAAGTTAGATTAATTTGGATAGTTGGGTTCTTTCTGGATTAATTTTTTTTTTAACTAGTGGGAATAGTTTGTGTTTTAGTCTTGGAAGTCACCTCATGTTACTCTCACTTAGGTTTTCATTTGAGTCTAAATATAACTGGGTCGTTCTGCTTTATTTTGAGGTAAATCTAAAAAAAAAAAAAAAGGACATCTGTTAACAATTAAGTAGTAGACTTACAAAAAGGTCTACAGTTTTCCCAGCATCCCCTCCAATTTTTCATTCTTTTAAATCATTAATTATACATAACAGCAGAGATCTGTAGTGTTACTGATAAATCAAAAGAACTAGTTATAAAATTATTTAAATTTAGAATGCATTACGCAGTTTTGTTTGGTAAAATGCTTAGGTGCCTAAACAGAACTTACTTATAACTAGCAATTCTTCAGTAGGATTCTCAAGACGTGGATTTTAAAACTTAGGATGACAACATATCAGCTGTGATGAACTCATAATTTTCCTGAGCCTCACTTACTTTATCTCTTAAATGGAGATAATAATAGTGTTCTTTCTCATTTTACAAGGGTTTGTGAACGAGGTAGGAGATGTGAGAGGATGGTAGAGTACGAGGCAAATTAAATACAACTTTATCATTTTAATTGGCATTTACCAACTATCCATCAATTGATATCAGGGAGCAGGCAATCCAAAAATATACAAAGCAGGAAAAAGAAGTCAATTCGCGATACAGAAATATTAACAGGAAAAAATTTTTTTAACAAGAGTAATAAAGAGTTGGCCAGATACTCATAATGCATTTTAAAATAAGCACTTAGAATTTCCTTTACTGAGTTAAATGGGAATTAAAAATAATGTTTTTAGTCTACTTTGAGCTGTCTAAATTTTGGTTTAAATTTTTATAAAGACAATGCATGGCAGGGTTGTGAGATTTCTGGACGCCTTAGAAACAGCATCCTCAAGATTACCAGGGAGAAAGTCTCAAATGGAATCTCAAATGATGTTACAAATAGAGCCTTCCTGTATGTGTGTGTGTATGTGTGTGGGAGGGGGGAAGAGAGGGGAGTTTCAGGCAGCTGGAGGCTCTCCTATATTCCCTCTAAACTTCATGGCTTTCAATTTATCAGTCTCAGAAGGATGAAGAGTTGAGTCTCTCCTGATAGCATTTGAAGCTGTGGTTCCACTGAGGATTTAACGCTGTAGTTGCAGGGAGTCTAGGTATTTCAAATCTGAGGCTTAAAAAACTAAGCCATCCCCTCCGGCTTTTGCACTGATGCTGTGAAATCCATTTGAGAAACATGCCTATGTTCTGCTACTTGTTCAAAGCTGTAAGCGTGACTTGGCATTGAAATAATAATTTCTTTTTCAAAACTCCCCACTGAACTATTACATGGGTTATCTAAATACAGGCTATTTATTTGATTGGCATTTGCTCTTGTCAGTTTCGCAAACTGTAAGTAATAATTTTTTGCTGATGTTAGAGCATTGTATTACCGTGTTTCTAATTCAAATTCATTTTTATATTAATCCGGGAACACTTGCTGTTACTACCTGATTGTACATTCTGGATGTAATTAGAGTCATTATACAGAAATAAGTGTCATCTTATTATTCTCTAAATGAGAAAAGAGAGTATTCTTCCTTTCAGAAATAGTTTTTCTAGGTCATGCCCCCCAAAACATTTGTCAAATCAATAGCAGATTCAAATCACAAACCTTTTTGACTTTTTAACCTTTAAAAGTCATCTCAATGACTTATAAAGACCAAGATTGTATAGAAGAATGTTGGCCTATTTAAGTAATTTCTTCTCAAAATAAGCTATGTGCTACATATTTTCAATTTGTAATTGTAGTACTGGGCCACTTCTCTAATAAAGTTGTCATAATGAGGACATAGTAGATCATTTTACATGGCGGAACTTGCTTTTTATGACAATTGCTTATCATATTGTATTAGCCTGTTTCTGTTGCTTATGACACAATACCTGGATCTGGGTGATTTGTAAGAAAATGAAATTTATTGCTTACAGTTTTGGAGGTTGGGAGGTCCAAAGTCCAGAGAACACATCTGGTGAGGGTCTTCTTTGGTGGTGGCTTTACAGCAATGCAGGGGTCTCACATGGAAGAAAATGGTGGAAGTCATGGAAGAAAATGGTGGAAGACAGCGAGAGAGAGGGAGCAAGCTCCTTATGCCTTCTCCTTTTAAAGCCCTCAAAACCGTGCCCATAACCACCATTAAACCATCAACTTGGGCTGGCCTGGTGGCGCACTCGGTAGTGTGTGGCACTTGGGAGAGTGGCTGCGCTCCCGCCGAGGGTTCGGATCCCATATAGAGACCTGTCCGCTCACTGGTTGAGCGGGGTGCGGGCGCGACACCGAGGGTTGCGATCCCGATGCCGGTCGCGGTACGGGCGCAACACCAAGGGTTGCGATCCCGTTACCGGTCACGAAAAAA